GGCCACGTGTTGCGTATGCCAGTCGACCGACTTCCTCGAAGGGCTCTTTTCGCACAACCACGTGAAGGGTGGAAGAGAGTCACAGGCGGTCAAACAATGATTTGGCAGCGAAGTATGGAAGCCATTACCAGCAAACTCAGCTGCGCTGGTCATTGCTGTCTTGCTGGATGGGGACCCCGAGACGGGCCACATCAATCGTTAGAAACATTGTCAGACATGGCTCAGTCGCGCCCTCAATGGCGCTCATGCATCCAGGCTGTTGCCCTCAACGCATAGCTCCCTTTCCAATCGCCCCACGTAACAGTCCGCTGACTAATTTACCAGCTCTCGCCTGCAATGCTCAGCTACTTACCCCACCTCCCCGAATCATCGGCGAACTAAACTGGCAGCTACAACCACGGTACGACAAGTACCCGGTTATTACAGCTAACGACGTTGGTGCTTATCAGCTTATTACGCAGGCCCAATTGCGATTAGATCCCTAGTGCAGTGTGCTAACACAACTCGCCGAATGGAATGGGACTTCATGTGGCGTCATTTGCGCTTTCCGCAATCAACCGACCTAACTAACGCGGCTCACAACTGTGGGAACAGTTGGACTACAATCTCTTGGTCCGAAAAGCCTAACAACGAAAGCTTTATAATCGGCTCAGCTGGAATGAATGGTGGCGCGACGATGGTAAGAACTACCTAGAATCAACTGCCCGATTGATATTCCGAGACTGAGCTGGTGGCGACTACTTGGATTCCAGTCCGATCGCACGGGCAAATGTCTCAGTTCATTTGTATTTGATTCGGTTTGAAACCCGAAAATTTGTTCTCGTGTGATTTACGAAGTCTACATTTTAGCAACTCGGCTGTTGCACAGAATCTCACATCAGTATTGATGCATGTCAGCTAATCAGTGAGTTCTGCTGATATTTGGATAACACGACTTCGGATTAAACGATGTGGAAGAAACACGAACGACAGCAAATGACTTGAATCCAACCAGTCCCGGTCGCTTTGACATCACACTAGCCACTTTTTGCGCCTCCGCTTCGGCTGGGTTTTAACTGCCGTTCTTTTTCCTCCATCGTACAAATTTATGAACGAACTAACAACTCACAGCTACCAGGCTGTAAGTCTTCCGTAATTGTTTCGGAGCGTGGGTGCAGGGCGGGTTTACTCACGTATATCCTCATTTCCAGGCATCGTTCCGTAGGTAAAATGAAGGCTCTTTTCAAAAAGAGCACACATTCACGAAATCGATCGTATCCATGGCAGACGGCCTTCTGCTGGATTTGCTCTCAATGAACATCATCTGCGTTTAAAACACACAGACACGTATGCGCGAATTCTTTCAGATAAGGAAAGTGCGTTGGCCTGTTCCACTAACGAATCAATGTTCATTGTGGGTTTGAATACACATATATGGCATGTATCGGAACGTGATACTTTGCAGCACACTATTTTTGGGGAATGCCGTGCACAAGGAATCCCATTCATACCGCGTGTACTTCCTTTCCCCCGGCCAAACTCTCCTTGTCTGCTGCTGTTTACTGCATCTACCTCCTGATGTAGATGTAAATTTGTAATCCCTCATGAACTTTTAACCCTTGACCTGTCGAACCAATTCGGTTGGCCATCCTTTACGCACGCTTTCTGACCGTTTTGCATTCTCATGTGTTGTACCCAGGCGTGTGCCGCTAACTAACATCGATTTGCCATCTTCTTCGGGCTTTCTTTGGACTTGCACTACTTCGTGCAACAATTCAGACGGAAACCCCCATAATTTGAGGTTTGTACCCTTTTTATTACGTATTTTATACATGTAGTACCGCATCTTTTGATAAATCTCAAGAATGCACAATTTCTGGCTTGTGATTTTGCGCGTCACTCAAGTGGGCTTTCCTGAATACGTCGAAGTATTCTACACCGCGGCAACCCAAACAAGGACTCCAGGTGTTTCTCCATGAAAAAAAAGAAAGAAAGAAAAGAAAGCATTCAGCTGTAGCACCCTTCCGGTGCCTAGCTGCCGTGCCACTCGAAAGAAGCACGAGGGCTGGGATACTGTCAGGTTGCCCAAGTCTAGACAGGGGAAGTCAGGAGGCAGAGGTTGAGTTCGAACCACGGACCTTCCAGCCAGTAAATTCGCGCTCTTAGCACTGAGCCATCTCGCGAGGCATTCTGTCACTGGACAAGACCATGAGCAGCATAATCGGTGAAAAAGCTTTCAAAGTCGAAGGATTATCCAGTTGGAGGAATCTTCGTTTGCCGATGTTGAGGAATGTAGGTAACTCGTGTGCTTCTTGGTCGTCGATCTTTTTACCGAGCTTGGTGGTCGGATTGCGAGCGTCTCATCACTAATCAAGATGACGCTGTCATTGCGGGTTTGAGTGGATAAACCACCCAATGAATCTTCTGTCCATCCTCCTAAAATCGCCGAGTGTCAGGTGATTTCCTTCAACAGATGTTTCGCCAGTTACGCGTAGTATAATTCTTCAGTAGGACTCGTGTCACTCTGCCACATGACCTTAATATAGTAGGTCAAGTTCCTGAATAACCCAGCTCAGCTCTTGGCTTGTATGGTGTAATTGTGGAAGTCGGAAATCTTGCATAGTTAGGTGGCAGCTAGATGCGGAATGAACATAACTCAATTTGATGACGCTAGTCTCTGGCGATTTCGATATCTTTTGAGACCATTTGTGCGAGAATCACAAGTTTGAAAATGTAATTCTCGGCCTCTGATATACTGTATAGGCTTGCTACGTCAATTTACCTGTTGTCTTCATCTTTTCTGTTTCCAACTGACGTGGCTTCAGCTTACACGGAACTCGCGACAACCACTGTAAACCAACTGATCTCAATCCCATTCACTGGGAGTGCCACCCTCCTCAGGTTCCACCTCAGTTTGCTTGCTGGAACAGTGGAAGTGGTCTTACACAAGCCCGAATCCGTCCAATTCCGAGTTTTTGACTCGATCAACGTCACATGGCGACCCCAGCAGGTCAATTTAGAGGTAAGTAGCTGCCGAAATAGTTGATTACTCGATCATGACGGAGTTAATCAGCCTAGCTTTCTTTCGCTGAGGCCCTGGTTAAAAATAAGGTCGACCGTTAACCTTCTTGCCCTCCGAGCACTGTCTTTGCACTCTTTAGATTTCGCGTTTCGAAATCCCACCGCAGCAGTGATGAATCGAGTAGGAGCTTCGAGTGACACGTTTCCTTTCTCGAGAGATTACCCGGTCTAACCCAGAATATCCGTATCATAAATAGTGGAACTGCTTTTGGATATTCGTGTGAACAGGATACAATTCTGCCTACACGGTGTTCTTTTGGTAACGTATCGAAGTATTGGTAGTTCGGGTGAGTTTACTGCTTGTTGATCAGGTGGCCATTGATCTATTTGCCGAGCTTCGCAATTGACTTGGGAACGTTTCGTCACCATGCGAAGAGGCACCGTCAGTGCGTAGTTGGGTTGGTACTTCCTCACGGTAAGAGATAGCATATAGCTTTTAAATGCTGTATAAACGCACGCAGACAAACAGGACGTTTCATCACACTAAAACACTGAGTAAGGCTGCGATAAATCAGACCGAGTGCCAGTTTTTCTGCTATGTATTTGGGGTTCCCGAACGCGATTCTGAGATACATGAAACTTAAACCCCACAGTAATTCCTCAAAACGAACCCTTCCGAGGACATGTTACTACCGTGAAAACGGGATGATAGCATTCTCCGATCATGATTTACCAGATGTACCGAAGTCCATTTTGGTAGCCTGCTGTAATATTTAAGTTGGGAAATTCAGATACCATCAAAAGGTCGGAACTAACATAAGAACGCAGTTTAGTTTGAAAAAGCAACTACGTATCAAGTTCGTTCCAAGTTCAAGTTCCAAGTATCAAGTTCGTTTCCGGATTTCCGTGTAGAGTCCAGTGGTTCTCAAACTCTCCAGCACATTTCCCCTTAACGCACAATGTACATCATTTCGCGTATGTGGCATAACCACCGGGATCAGGCCTCGTTAAAAGCATCTTATGTAGTAATGCGAATTGTTACCCTTAAGGGAGACCCCCCTGAGTGGAGGCTACTCACTGTAGACTACTTAATGTCGTTCTCCGAAAGATGACTTATTGTTCGACCATTCTGAAGAAAGGGTCGAAAGTTCGAGTAGTCTGATCTAAACTAAAATACGCGGGCCGGTATTGGTTATTCAGAAAGGGTGTGGCTTCATACGTCAGAGGTCCTCCAGCAATTAGCGTTGGACGGTTGCACTGTTGAAAGAGCCTATTAGGGTAAGGTGTAAACAAGTGCACAGCACTCTGTCAGACGAGGGCCTGTCCACACACCAGCAGACGTGTCCGCGTAATCAGATGCGGTACTACAATAACCTTGTGGACATCGCTCATTATCAGACTCAGCAGATGGCCGAAGTGGTTAGAGCGCGGATTACTAACCTGAAGGTCCGCGGTTCGAATCCGACCTCCGCCACTCGACTTCCCCTGTCTAGGCTTGGGCAACCTGGCAGTATCCCAGCCCTCGTGCTCCCTTCGGGTGGCATGGCAGCTAGGCACCGGAAGGGTGCTACAGCTGAACGCTCTCTCTCTCTCTCTCGGCTATGCCAAACTCCAGAACGAGGGCTTCCAATGAGATCGCAGAATGCTTCCTTCGCCTGGTGGCTAGTAAATATATCTATCACCTTGTCGATAATGACCTTGAGGAGGTTTCAGTCATACGTGCAGTCAGGATGGCATGATGGAACAAGAGGTATCAATTTGATCTATACAGATTTCCCCCTTCAGTATGACAGGGAAGAGCTTGATTGAGCTATCGTAGGTAAGATAGTTCACTGCGTCTCATAAAGGACTGTTATCAGAACAGTCGAAGAAAAGTGAGATCACCCTAGGACAGGGACGAGTGAGGCAATACACAGAGGACCCTTTCGAGGTGGATGAATGATGGAATTCAAAATATGGTCACACTAGGGATTGCGAACTGCCGCCGTGACTGTGTGGAATATAGGTGGAGCTCCTGGGATAAATAGTGATAAAAAACGACTCAGCTTCACTATTCCCCTACTCAGTGTCTGGGGCGAAAGTTAGTTATCCAGAATAGTGAATACTGAATCATGAGGATGCCCGATTTCGAGATGGATTTTGGGTTGCTACTTAGAATTGGAATGTTCAGATTATACCACTTGTCCATCGCAATGAGGCGACTACTTCCAGTTGTACTGGGATACTGCAGTCTTATCCCCGTTGGTCTCTTCTGAAGAAGGCCTCTTAAGAGATGAACATGACTTCAATCACTGACGGCCGTCGCAGTACAGAACCCTGAGTCAGAGTACCGCTAAACGGTACCGGACAATTCACGCCGGTGTCGTTACCTTCAAATATCTAGGGTAGTTGTGTGGAATTAACACAGTTTCCGGCAGTTTCGATACCAGAGTTATCCGCCCACTGGACGACACGCTTACAGCAGAGTGAGACTTGTTGTAAGTCTCTGGCACAGTTCGCGCTGGTGCCAATGAAGTGGCAGGTTTCCGATGGAATTTGGGACCGCAACCCCAGCGCAGTGATGATGTCACCTCGACTGCTTTTCAAACAGACGATCGGCCATTAGTCTACCCTGAGCTACCGATATTCTTAATCAGACGCTTTGTAAGTGGTTTTCGTTCCAGGGAGACAAGTATACAGTGGTTCTGCTAGCATGTCTGAGAAAATTAGTTACGATAATCGATAAACCTACCTGTTCTTTCTTCAGATACTGCGCAAAACAACTATTAATAAAGTACAATACCATCCCATGTTGCTTCTTTCCAGTGGAAATCAAATCCCACAAATGACATGTATGCGGATGCTGTGCAAAACGTGGTCCTACGGGCGGCAATGCAGGGGATGCCACCCAGAGGTGAGTTTGTATATTGCATCATTTCGGCGAATTTTTGCTTGTTTCGTGGGCCCAGTTAGTCGTCCAGTTGTAGCACCCTTTCGGTGCCTAACTGCCATGCCACCTGAAGGTTGCACGAGGGCTGGGATACTGCCAGGTTGTTCAAGTCTAGACAGGGAAATCGAAAGGTAGAGATCGCGTTCGAACCACGGACACTCCGGTCAGTAAATTCGCGCTCTAACCACTTGGGCTATCTCGCCCAGTTAGTCAGACTATTGATATTTATTCGGAAGATTTCTGTGAAGTTCTTGAAGTATTGATATACTGTATTGGGGCACACCTAGCTCAGTGGTCAGAGCTCAAATTTACTGGCCGTAAGGTCCATCCGACCTCTACATCTCGACTTCACCTGTATGGGCTCCGGCAACCTGATAGTATCCTAGCCCTCGTGCTTCCTTCGGGTGGCATGGCAGCTGAATGACTAACTTATTTATCTTTTCTTCACTACATTTCTTTATTCCTTTCCCTGTCGTGTTGCTTTCAGGATTACCACATTTAACGGAACCCAGTAAAAAACAGCTGCATATGGCGTTAGAAGTAACCCTTCAAGACGCCTTCGGAATGGATTGCCTCGAAGTAGATGAAGTCGAACCGGATGCCAAGTCGATTCTGGTTCGTGTCGACTCACATGTTGCAGAAGTGGACTTAACAGACCTGGTAATTTCCTTCTCACAATTTCTCTTATACTTCGTGTCTGATGCGTAGCCAATCCAGAACTTTCTGTATATGGCTGTTGTTCTGTAGCTTTCAGGGCTTCAAGCTATAAATGATCGGATTCCACGTGATGAATCCAGTCCAAATCTTCTCTATCGTTCAGTTTCTTCACTCACCATTCAACAGAGATGTACAAACTGTTAACCATTGGGGTTCTTGTCGATCCTAGAAATCGTTCAGGAAGACCCCTTCACTCTACGGAAACCTCAGTTTATTGGTGCCATACCATGGGATTTCCTTAGATCACAAACAATAGTGTTTACCGTTCATTGTGTCCTCTTGGGTGTTCAAGTGTGTTCGCTCTTGATTGGATCTGCGGCACATGTCAGTCGGTTCAAAGTCACCTTCATTTCAAACTGTAGCATTGACTGAAACAGCTGACTTGCTGATTGGATAGTCGAAACTCGAGCCCGCCGGCAATAAGAAACTCCGTTAATTGGTTAGATTCTGGCTTCTCAGATCCCTATTACTGTTGACAGTGTTGTCAGCTTGTAGAGTGCCGGTCTCGCCCTGGGTTCTGCGTTGCCTGATCATCGCACACACTTGGTTTCGGTACATCTGATCGTTTAGTTCATGACGACTTCACTGATGTCATTTTACGGCCCAGTAAATAGACCAGCCCAGATTGTTGTGCACTTTTTCGTCATGCCACTTAAGAAAATTATTTCATCTAAAGTCACGTCACAGCTAGACATCAACCGGCTAGGATGTAAATCAAAGCGAATCCGCAACGCTATCGATCCTTTATACAGGTCCTGAAACAGTTATTAGAACGATCTGGTGGTGTTAAACGCATTAAATGTCTGTTGTGCAAAGCGATTATATAGTTGTGCATTTTTAGTGAACGAGTGACTCCTCGAAACAACTTGGAACCGCAAGACTTCGAGGAGGTGACGTTCGTGATGACACTGTATTTAATTGAATCTCCCAGGTCCCGTCAACTTGGTTGAACAACGGAGTTATCCAGGATGTCCGGTTGCCTAGTATACGGCAGTGAAGCGTCGGCGTTGAACACTGATGTCATGCTGTCGACGATGATGATTGCCCAGTCTAACTCATGTCGTTATTGGTTGGATAAATGAATGTGGTCTTCGCGCTCGGTAAGCCAGATGGACCAGTCGTGCCTTACAAAATATCTCTTAGGTGTCTTGCTACGGTATGACCTTAGGTGGCAACTCCGCAGCATGTGAGATTCCACCTGGGATGGGAAAATCGATGGGCGCCTATAAACGAAGTTTTGTGTGTTTCAGTGCTCATAATCTAAAGGGGCGAGATGGCGCAAGTGGTTAGAGCGCGAATTTACAGACCGGAAGGTCCGTGGTTCGAACCCGACCTCTGCATCTGGACTTCCTCTGTCTAGGCTCGGGCAACCTGGCAGTACCCCAACCCTCGTGCTCCCTTCGGGTAGCATGGCAAATAGGCACAGAAAGGTTGCTACAGCTGAACGATTTTGATTTCGTAACCTAAAATATCAGTCACCTGGCGTGACTGAATCGCAAGAGGCCTTTTTCGATCTTGTCAAATAGAGCAAAAATGACCGGCTATGTTCGCGAACCCCCAGGAGAAGTTGCATTCCACTTCCGTGTACACATCAATCTTATTCTTGGCAGATCGCGTTTTCTCAGCTTGAAGCGCCAAATGTTAAAACTTCCTCATAAATCGGAGCTTAAAATGCAAACTCCGCACCCCCAAATCCCCAGTGTTGTGCCAAAACGTTAGGGTACGGTATTTCAGACTACTCTCACTACACCTGATCACCCAAGTCGCTCAGCCTCATTCGTCGACACATGCGGGTGAAGGGTGTCTGTCGCCGTTGCAACCGTCTCGGCTGATGCTTTCCTCTGAACGTTTTGTACCTGGGGTTTTCTGGCCAAATCGGAAGTGATCCTCTCACTCTCTGATCTTCTGAATTATTCTGAACGACCCCCCCCAACCGAGTTTTTTCACCACCATTTTCCAACGAGTTTACCCCAACCGATTTCACCTCCATTTTCCAACGAGTTTACCAAAACCTCTGTCTCTCAGTGGGGTCATGCTTCCTTCCAAAATCGGAGTGCACTATGTCTTCTTTTCTGGCTCTCTTGTTGTGGTATCGATGTTTTCAGTGTTTTGTTTAGCAGCAAGACCGAAACGCCACAATGCACCATGTGCAGCCTTAATCTAAATAGTATGGTACTGGTGACTTTCCATCTTTTCAACCACATTTTTCATTTGGTCACTAAATTGCATACATATTGCTTTTTCTTCTCCCCATATTATCTGCTAGTCTGTCAGCTGTCCAACAAACTCAAAGCTGGAACACATCATTCGGGTAATGGTCCAACGCGTCAGCCACTGTATTTCAGCCGTATGACCTGTTGGGATTCTTAATTCGTGCACTGAAGACGTGTATTTACGGTTTTTGCATTTCTACCTGCAATTCGATGAAGACGATATAAACCATGCACAAAAAATTGTTCGTTCTTATCAACTACCTTCCAGGAAGGTCCCTTTCAAGCAGTCAACCTAAGCATGCCCCGATGATGTTTCATGATAAATCTGTAGTTTTTTCTCGCAGCCGTCAGACGTTAGCTAGTCCGTACAGAGCCTGATTAGCCGAAACCCAAACACAAAGACTGGAAGGCACACTTTCGGTAAGTAGTATCTACCCAAATTAGAGCCGACGCTCCGCTAATCCATCTATTGCCTAGGAAACGTAGTCCCAACTCTACCACAAGAGACGTTGCATCCTCCTGACAAGCATACTTTTCGTGTTACACTAGAAGGGTGAAAAACCACAATAGCGCGGATCAGCAATCTGATAGAATACATGTTGCCTTAAAAATCATACATAATGTCAGCATGGAACAGGCAGAGGTAAATGAAAAAACAATGAACGGCTTTGATGAATAACAGAGAATAACGGGGTTCAAACTTGAAGATGGCGGACCCAAATCTGTCCCTTTTGTTTGAAACGATTGTTTAATATGAAGGTCTACAAGCATGTGACACTTTACGCCGGTAGACAGCCACAGCAATTTTAAATGATTGTACACTTAAACGACGATCATTTCGCGCAAAATGCGTATACTGTATTGCCACTCAAAAAACCGGTTCTTGCGTTGGTAGTGGGAGACCTACGGTTTCCAAGATTTTCAGGACACCTCTAGTCAGACGTTGCTCTCAACAACTGGGAATGTTGCGCAAGTCTCAGAGAGATTTCTGACCCGGCAAAATCCATGCAACCTGGTTGGGGATCGCAGTTATTCGCCGAATGCTGGATACAATCCTGGCCTGGCGGTTGACATGCATCCATGACTTACTAACAATTGGTGTGGAACTATCACGTCATAATATCCCACCTGTTGCTTAAGAATCCCTTATTTTGCTGTGCACAGGAAAAGTCTGCTTTGAATTCAAGTGGACTGCAAGTAGACGGGCACAAGTGAAGTTTCTCTTGTAAATATAGAGATTTCAATCGATCCCAATCTCTAAACGAGCGATACGCTGAGGACATTAACTTTTACCCCTGATCAGCACTCCAATTCTTTGGACATCTCAAATATCATTCATCCTAATTTGTCTGTATTATGTGCACCCAGGGTGATTGCCACTGCAATGAAGTAGATAGGGATGTCCACAACACCAAGCAGAGACTTCACTCCACTTTGCATCGCGCGTATAAGGCAGCGCCTTTTGTCGATATTCCGGAGGTTTACTCAGGACCGGTCGGGAAAAGTAGTGGGCAAAAGAGACTCAGAAAAGGAAGAAGTGATGACAAGTTGAAACTCCATTTCAGCTTATCCAGACTAGTGAGTAAAAAAATGATTGTCAGTAAAGCCATCACATAGACAGGCGACTCGGAAATCTACTCTGCGTCCTGAAGTCTGCCTGGATGGATGGAACATTTTGGCTGGTCGTATGTGCCCGGCATAACGATAAACGCGCTATCAGTAGGATTCTAGCGGAATATAAAGTACAAAACGGGAACAGATTACTCTGATTGTCTGCAACTTCTCAACTCAGGCAAATGAGTTGTCGGGAGCAGTGGCAGATATTTCCACCATTCTTACCATGGTATCGGCCTAGCTCTGATCGCTCCTAAGCCACCAAGTTACTAACCGACCTACCAACAAATTCGAGCTGGGTTGTGAAAACCAAGCAGGATTCCTTCCGCGTTGTGCGTGCATATGTTCATCTTTCGACAGGCCGAACAAAACCACAGCACAGAAGACCAGTTTTCCTTTTCTAAGGTGTGGATACAACGTTGGTCTCACTCGATCACACTTTGTGGCGAGTTTCCCCTTAAATTTGCTCTTTCTCAACACCTATCCGTACAGTCTAACATCCGTGAGCGTCTGAAAATCTGCGGAGTGTTCTTCTGAGTTCAACATCGAAGGTAATGTTCGTCAGGGTTGCTCTGAACCAAGGTTCCTTTTCGAATTCGTAATTGGGCTGACTATCGAAGAAATCCTCGCTGTCTATTTTCTCCGGAGCTTTCACGGTGTAACTTCGAATGTTTCGTACTTCAACCAGTTTCAGAGTATGTTAAGTAGCCGGAATAATGTCATTCGATTTGGAATGCGTTTTGAAACACTAAAGTGCTAATACTGAACTCAGTTAGCAGATAATCAAATCCGGTTATGATGTCAGGAACACCAGACGAATATAATCAACCGAGCAACTGCAGCACGCCGAAAGGCGGCATCGCTAACAGAGTGAATAACACAGTTGCTGCAGTCCGCTTCACAATTCGCGGGTACCAATATGTGGACTGAAGGCAGGCGCAGTGGTGCGTGCAGTTAGTCTACGGCTATGAAGCCTGATCAGTGTGCATTTTCGACCACCGACGACTTTTAATTATTGGCCCCCACTTGGTTACAATATCTGCGACGATCCGAAGCACCCTACACATGGACACGGCTTTTAAATTGAACTGAAATGACTGAGTACAGTAGAATCATGCACCTTGTTTTCGGATGAAACGCATTTCACAAGTTTGCGAACGTAATTCGTGTCGCCTGTTCGTCTCATTGAGGCAACTTACTACAGTTCGAGCCAACGGTGCGAATATGATCTACCGGCAGACAGAAAGTCGAAATTTAATCAGTCCTGCTCCCCACTGTCCGATAGAAACTTCCGCAGCAAACAACCACCATGTATTTCACGAGCCTGTTAGCCGTTGCCTGCTTTCACAGCATATAGGTGCCCAAAACAGTGTGGACGATACTCAGGCTCATCTCCGTCACCCACCTCTTGGCCTAACTTCATGCGCCTAACACTGTGGGTCACCGGAGAATCCTATACCTGAAAGCGTGGTGCACTAGACGATTTCCCTGTACTGTCGCAGATATTTCGCCAGCCTACACCTTACCTACTACGAACGTAGCTTTTGAAAGTGAATCGATTACTAATACTAACAAATGGCACTAGCACTTTGCTTCATTTCACTACACAATATATCGGATGAATTGCACACCGTATGGGCTGGATACGGTTTGGTTGGAGTTCTTCCTTATATTTCGATGGAGAAATGGGGACAGTGCAAAAGCGGTCGCCGTGAAGAGTTTCCTTTACATGGAAGGATCATGCCTGTTTTGAGTCGCAGTCACATTCCCTAGAACTGTTGTACGTTATGCCTAACATCTGGGACTTTGAAAAGGACGGTGCACGCATAAAATGTAGCCCTGTGTATCCCTAATCTTTCTTTGCAGACGCACCACAAAAACGTAATTATTTAGCTACACTTTCTTCGGGTTATTTATACAAGCCAGCCGAGTCAATCGAGTAAATGAGTAAAAGCGGTGCTAATAGGATAATGATCGTACGATTTTACGTAATTCTGTTCATTACAAATCCTTCCCTATTAGTAGTGCGAGTCTCAGGGTTGCAATTGACTTATGGTAGCAGCGCTTTTAATTAAGTGTCCCCTTGAACTAACACAAGGCACGCCAGAGAAAAGAAAATAGAAAGAAATCACGAACTGTATGATGAAATACAATCACAACGGGGCATATCACATGTATAGTATACTGTTCAGAAAAACAAGTAAACGAAACGGTCAAGATTCATTAGACAGAAGTGAGGACGTCGGGACTGGTATTGTGGAATGAGGGAAATTGCACAAGTTACGAAAGACGGTATCTCCGGTCAAGTTTCACTTCAGTAATCCATAACGGACTTGGGTTTTGAAACGGCCAAAAGGTCGCGAAGTGGTCTCGGCTACACCGGAATCGCTGGTTTCTGGAGCGAAATAATCCGACGTATCTTTCGTAGCAGAGCGCACTTCATCCAGAAATGAACGTGAGTTGTGCATGCATGTTCCACCAAGAATGATATCCACTTCCGGTGTGGAGCTGTTCAACCTATGTATCGCTCGAGCCTCTTCATAGGTAGCGCCACCGATTATGAAAACTATAATTTTACGGGGCCGTTGTATCGATGAGGCGCCTGTCCAAGAGCCAGCGGCAGATAAATAGGGGAAGGCAGTTTCTCGTAGTTTCCCTTTGACTAGATCGTTTATTATTCCTGTCAGAACCGGCTCGTGTTGTGTGTAAACATTATCAACTCCTTTGAGTCCCTTAACAAGGCGCTTCGTCAGAGATGTCATTGCATTTGTAGCGGTTTGTGTGTTTATGCTATGAGCCCCGCTGGCTACGGTTTTCATTGCATCAAACAGCGTGAACTCCTCTGCACGAGATCGAGGTCCTGAAAACTCCAAAATGCGTTGAACCATTTGAACATCTTCATCTGTTGCCCCACGACTGACGAGAGCCTTGGCTAAAGTTGAAAGATCCGTCTTTTGTCCCTCGTATTTCAGAGCATATAACAAAACCAAACGCAGCGCATCGGACAACAAGACTCGAGGATCGTTAAGCAAAGCTCTGATCTGAGAAAGACTGGTAGAGTGGCTGTCATGACAAATTAATTCCTGTTCAGCTTCACTGACTTCCAACAACGCATGCTCCTTGACTAGTCGCGATAACTCGGATACAATGGTAACATGAGTCTCAACTGTCCCGGATACTTTCCGAAATGCAGGGTAGTGTTCTAGAAACTTCTTCAAGTCACCAATGGAATCTATGTTCTTCGTATCAACGGACCGCGAAGCAGACTGAAAATTTTCTACTAGCTTTTTTATAGCTTGTCCGATTTCACCAAAATTCGCATACTGGTTGTTCCTAAAAAATTCATCAAACTCTCTGGACAAGGTAACTTCCTTTAATTCTGGTCGGACATTCAGCGCTCGCGATAGATTTACTCGGTTTTGCTTCAACCCGATTAGCTCATGAACCATGGCTTCATAGGTCCACTGGGTAAGAAGTGGTGTCACAGAATCCTGACGTCGGTCTAAAATTAGCAGAACGGAGGACTGTTCAGACTTTCTGCCAAAATCAAACAAGACGGCCTCACGAGAGATCATAGAACGGATAGATTCGGCTACATGCCGTGCAGCCTCGGACGTGTTCTGATAACGAATGAGTGGACATTGTTTCAAAGCCAATAGAACTGCAGTGATGGAGTCCGTGCACCGACCAACCGCGCTCGGAATCATCCCTCGATTACCTTCAAGGCAGTTAGGCAAATCGAGTTCAAAGAGGAAAGGAGAAAGAGGCATAAAATCCGTGTAGTACTCATGTACTTCAGCGACAACTTCGTGATCATCTGCTTCGGCCAACTGTTTCAGCAACTGTTTTGTCAAAGTATGACTGAAGAATACGTAGTACGATGAATAATTTGGTTTCCGTAGTTCTTGCGCAAGCAGATTGACGTTTTCTTTGGTTGGGCGCAAAAGACATACACAACGAAGATGCTCTAGTGGCTCGCGTGGTAAGCGGATGCGTTCGATAAGATATACCTCCTGTTTCATAATTTCAGACATCGAGGAGACTAAGCTGACGGTTTTCAGAGTTTCGTCGTCCAAAAGCAAAACTTTCATTCCGGCGCCAGCAACTGTTAGCATTTTGGACAGATAGTTCTTTACCGCAAGGTGGAGGTCCATGGTCAAAAGTGTCACAGATTGAACACCTGAAAAAATATTATGGGCTCCTAGATTAGTGAGAAATGCAAGGCTCAAATAATAAGAACGTAAAGCAGCTGCCAAGTCGACGAACCAATGAGGTTCATTGTGAAGGTTTGGTCGTATCCCGCAAGGTTCAGCCAAGCAAGGCCTCCGGTCCTCAGTAGGACTCGCCAAGTGAGCATACAGAAATCCGTAACATAAAGTTACAGTTATCAGCTTCAGAAATGCATTTCCGGCGGTCGGGTTGATCAACTAAGCTTTGGGGCACATTGATACACACCTAAAAGCATCATCTTTAGCATCGATCCGGTCTTGGTGAAGAGTATTTTGACACTACTGACCTACTCACTGTTACTATATTAGACAAGGTTTGTAGGTATAAGCTAAGCTGTCCAGCTGAGGATGTCATACACCAGTGCAATGTTGACCTGTTTTGCGATAAGTGGTTCTGATAAGTTTCACCAGAGCCTTGGAGCTTATTTTCATTTAGTTCTTCCGTCTTCCTTTCTTCACTAAAAATTAGGAAACATTCTTAAAAGGTGGAAGTAGCCCTTCTTAGAGGAATAACCCAATACGCATTTCTTTCTGAGTAACTCAGGATGTTGTGAGCACCTGTCCTTCCCAGTAGTCACACGACAGCTTGTAATGGGATTCCCAAGTTACCGATTTCACCAATTCACAGTCTAAGTACTGCGAGACATAAAAACCACGTATAAGAAGTAGAAGATACATTGGTGGCGGTTTTCCGCGAATCGGACACAGCCCAACCATAACTTCACCATTTTGGCTTCAAGCAGCGGAACATTCGATAGAAGATACATTGTTGGCGGTTTTCCACGAAACGGACACAGCCCAACCATAACTTCCTCATTTTGGCTTCAAGCAGCGGAACATTCGATTTCAATAGTAATTGCAACATAGCCTGTCAGTCACCACCGTCCGGTTACAGAAGCAAGCAGTCGCTCTCCGGTCTTAGCACGGACAAGAGCTAGCAGACAAGGAGGCACCGCTTCCGGTATCTCTTTGGGACGATTTGATTTAGATACCCAGTTCTCACCAGTGGACTGCATACAGCAGATGACAATTCAGGCGGCATTCTTACGACCAGTAGAAAGTGGTATTTTCATGGTGTGACTTGGAGATTAAGCTGCTAACAAGTTAGTCTGCATCAGGAGCTGACCAGCTTTTTCTGTCTGATAACTAGAACAAGGCAAAGTTCTGTGTCGAACCAAATCGGATCGGGGGAAGGAGTGTCAGACGGGCATATTCATGCTCGATACCAAATAAAAGTGCATCTACAGCTTAGGATGTTCATAGTTGCATGTTTTCACAAGCTCCACCGAGCTCCTGTGCCAGATGACTTCCAGCCGAAGTTGTTCAGAGATGGGGGTGAAGTCCTCCGCCAGCGTTTTGTGCCAGATGACTTCCAGCCCAAGTTGTTCAAAGATGGGGGTGAAGTCCTCCGCCAGCGTTTCTCTAATGTTTGCATGGGAAGAGACCGTCTCAAATAACTGGGGAGAACCGAGTACAGCGCCCATTCTCAAAAAGGAGCTCATGTTGAGTGCGGTAATAACAGGGGAATCAGCTTGACTCAGGTTGTCAGGCTGCGTCATTCGTCTTTTGTTACCTTACGCTGGGTCGTGAAACACTGACTCGAGGGAAGTAAGCGGTATTCTGGCTTGGTAGGGACTGCGTTGACCAAATTTGCACACTCCGTCAGGTGCTAGAACGCCATACGTACAGATGACCTATAATTTTAGTAGTCCGGAAATTCCAAGACGCATTTGACTTGGTTGGTCGCTCTGTTCTCCTTAACACACTTGCCCAGCAGTGAATGCTCCGGGAGTTAGTTTTCCGGGCGTGCGGGAGTATACGAAGAGCTCTCCAAGAGTTCCCGCACACAAAGTGGTGACCGACAGGGGTGCCCACTCTCTCCATTCCTACTTAGGTTAGTGATCAATGAAACAAGCAGAAATCTGGAAGGTCTTCGAAACCCTGATATTCAGATAGCTTAGGACGTAAACCTTGTCGGGTTGGAATATGCAGATGACATTGTTCTTGTCTCCGGAGAGGGGAGGTAAGTATTACTTGATGAACTGGCCAGTCATCCCGTCCTTTGGCGTGCACTTGCAACCCAAAAGTATAAGGTGATGCTCGCGGACATACATTCACTGAACACGCCCCTTACAATCTATGGAGGAACAATCGAAGTTGTGTATTTGTTCCGACTGTAATGTGACAGCTGGGCTCAATGCATGAATATGGAACATTCAGGTCGCGTTTGCTAATTTGGGACACCTATGACGTCAAACCGGTATATCCCTGAATCTCAAGGGACGTGTGCATCAGGCTATGGTGCGGGCTGTTTTTTGTAAGGCTGTGAAACGGCCTGTTCGAGCAACGGAACTGAAACGTCTTCAGGTGCTCAACAATCGCTGTCTAAGAACCATAGCTCGTGTATGTTGGTGTCGGAGAATCCGTAACGAGGCAACTATAGGCAACTGTGGGTATAGGCACCTCGAAATGATTGTGGTAGGCTAGCAATAAGTTCTTTCCTTTTATTCCTCTCCACACGATAAGACTTCCTAATACATCCTGGTTGTACGGCAGCAAAGCACTAGTTTTGAATACTGATGTTATGTCGTCGGTGATGACGATAGACACCCTGGTTGCCTGGAGAAAACACTTTACCGCCTTTACACTCCCATCGCAGAGGACAGTATGACTCCACCCCTAGACCCCCTTGCAGTACGACTGCTCATAGTATGGTGCCTCATTGCTCTGGGCCCGACTTCTCTCATTTGGCTTTCCTGGCATACTTACACCTTGTTTAGCCCACGCGATCATTATCATCACCGACAGCATGACATCAGTGTTCAACACCGATGCTTCACTGCCGCTGAGCCTATCCTGGCTTGTGTCGTGCTTTTTGTGTGCTTATTTTCATACTTGCCATATATACTCGTATTAAACCTTTGTATGTACACATCAGCTCATCCACGCTTGTTCTTAGACAAGTAAAACGTTACTTATCCTCGAAAACCCGGGCTCTATTCTAACTCGTTCACAGACACATTCTAAACGTCTCAGCCAGGACATGTTTCAAAAGAAATACCACAAATTTTGCTCGAAGCAGCGCAGCTGTTCCAGAATCTGAGGTTGAATACATGCTCAACTTATCCCCCTGTCAAGCCTCGAGGGATGACCCTCCTTCGAGTCCTCCTGAAGATGACCAATTCCTCGTACGAACCTTTGGGCAACTCTCCTCCAACTACCACTTCACTCATCTCCTGCTGGTAGGCGACTTCAACGCTCTAAAGGCCTTCTGGATTGAGCTCAAGCGGGTCAGGTGGACTTTCTGCAGCGGCGCTGACCAAAGTCGTTCAACATGTCGTTGCACCCACCAGATATGGTACAGGCTAACTACCATCCCCCTGGATTTGGTCATCACCAACGAAAGACACTTTGTTGATCACGGTGATAATTAACACTCTACTGGGACATGGCGACCACTGTGTCCTGACCTTCGATCTCATCTGCTATCGGGCCAGAAATCCCGAACATCAAAAGTGGATTCGAAACTTCTGTCTCTCAGACTTCTCAAAAATGCGCATCTTCCTTGAACAAAGTAAAATGGTACCAGCTTCATGAAGAATTATGTACGACCTTTGTCCAGAAAGTTCACGAGGCTGACGCGACGTTCGTCCTAAAAAAACCAGCACAGTCGGATGAGCCAAAAGCTACCTAAAATGAATCGGCGTCTTCTGGAAAAGAGGTCTTAACTGCTCTTCAAAACGTTGACTACAGGGACGCAGAAGATGAGCTGGCATTTTCATAAAATGCGGAACCGCCGTAAATCAGAAATCCGCCCATGGAACATACGAAAACAAGTCACCAATCTGGACCTCGCCCTGAAAAGTAGAAACGTGTTGTTCAAATACATCGGACATCGCCGCAGAAACAAGCCATTCGCGCTCGCCTTGAGGAGCAGGAACGGAGAACCCACGAGTGATCCAATAATAGTATATGAAGTTTACAGAGAACACTATGCAGGACTATAGTTAGCCCCAGCGTCCTCGTCACATCCAGTCTTGTCAAGGCGTAACTACGACTAGCCTCTAACCGATTTGATCTTCATGGTGGATATCCGTCAACTCTTGCGCAAGATCAAACCATTCTGCGCGTTGGGGCCCGACGAGGTTCATCCAAGGACCTTGAAGGAAACGTCGTCTACACTGGCAAATCATTTCTACATGGTGTTTCGTCAGTCGTTTGACGAAGGACACTTTCCCTCTGCTTGGAAGGAAGCGACTGGCACACCAATTTACAAAACTGGTGACCGACTATCACCTGGCAGCTACAGGCCTTTAGGCCTCACCGTCGTGCGATGCAAGATGATGGAACGCATTCTGAAGCGAGCTATCCTAGATCACCTTACTTCCAACAACTTGGTTCCTCAGCTCAACACGGAGTTCACCCAAACTATTTTTGCGTGACGAACATGCCCGTCTTTATAGACAGCCTAACCCAAACCAAGGATGAGGGACTCGTCCTTTTTTACTCCGCAAAGGCATTTGATCAGGACCCACACGTCCCGCTGCTCCACAAACTCGAGTCTTACGGGATTCAAGGGAAAATCATACACTGGATCAACATGTTCCTATCAGACAGATCATTCCGAGTGAGAATAAGCTCGACCTACTCTTTTCCAGTGCTAGTCTCCATTGGCGTTCCCCAAGGCTCCGTTATGGGACAACTGCTGTTTCTGATATACGTCAACGATCTTCCAGATGTTCCTGTATGCACATGTTTACTTGTTGCGGACGACTTGATATCCTGGAGTTCCAGTGCCAGTGCTGTCCAAATGTATGTAGATGCTGCAAAGCAATGGTCATTGGACTGCCACTTTCCTCTGAATGACGGAAAGTGCGTCCACGTGTCATTTGGAGGAGATTCGGCGAACGACTTTGTCATGCATGGTGAGA